TATCCGGATCTTTGGCATTATGAGCGAACACTTTACCCACTTTAAATTTTCTTTTTACAATCAAACCATCCCAACCAACCAAGAAGTGTCATTGCATCAGGAAAAACTCAAGATTTTGCAACTGCGATATAACATTATCAGCATGTTTTCAGATCACCATTAAGATAATAGGCAGGTATGTGTGCTTTATTTAAAAACATATCCTTTGAGAAGGAGCCCTGTTAAATTACATGATTATCACATCAATCAGTAGGTCACCTGGGTTTTGATCATTTCTCACCTATATGAGATTCACATCAGATGTTGTAACAGGATGTGTTGAACAACAAAGCATTTGGTCCTGTGCTCCACGCATCATTTACAATGGCAGGTTGTAATTGAAAGCCAGTAAAAAAATCACCAGCGTATTTAGATTTGTTTTAGCTTTCATACACATGCATCCCAGATCCTTACCTACTCTTGCCCAAGTTATTACAGATATTTTCCTCATTGGGGTTTCTGGTGAGAGCAGGTCTCCAACAACCGGTGCTGGTCTCCACATTGGGATTCCTGGTTAGAGCAGGTCATCAACAACCTGTGCTCTCTCCACATTGGGATTCCTGGTTAGAACAGGTCATCAACAACCTGTGCTAGTCTCCACATTGGGATTCCTGGTTACAGCAGGTCAGATCTTCTGCAACATGTGCTAGTCTCCACATTGGGATTCCTGGTTACAGCAGGTTCCCAACAACCTGTGCTGGTCTCCACATTGGGATTCCTGGTTAGAACAGGTCATCAACAACCTGTGCTAGTCTCCACATTGGGATTCCTGGTTACAGCAGGTCAGATCTTCTGCAACATGTGCTAGTCTCCACATTGGGATTCCTGGTTACAGCAGGTTCCCAACAACCTGTGCTGGTCTCCACATTGGGATTCCTGGTTACAGCAGGTTCCCAACAACCTGTGCTAGTCTCCACATTGGGATTCCTGGTTACAGCAGGTCTCCAACAACCTGTGCTGGTCTCCATATTGGGATTCCTGGTTACAGCAGGTTCCCAACAACCTGTGCTGGTCTCCACATTGGGATTCCTGGTTACAGCAGGTCCCTCAACAACCGGTGCTGGTCTCCACATTGGGATTCCTGGTTACAGCAGGTTCCCAACAACCTGTGCTGGTCTCTACATTTGGATTCCTGGATAGAGCAGGTTCCCAACAACCTGTGCTGGTCTCCACATTGGATTCCTGGTTACAGCAGGTCCCCCAACAACCGGTGCTGGTCTCTACATTGGGATTCCTGGTTACAGCAGGTTCCCAACAACCTGTGCTGGTCTCCACATTGGGATTCCTGGTTACAGCAGGTTTCCAACAACCTGTGCTGGTCTCAACATTGGGATTCCTGGTTAGAGCAGGTCATCAACAACCTGTGCTTGTCTCCACATTGGGATTGCTGGTTATGGCAGGTCATCAACAACCTGTGCTGGTCTCCACATTGGGATTCCTGGTTAGAGCAGGTCATCAACAACCTGTGCTAGTCTCCACATTGGGATTGCTGGTTAGAGCAGGTTCCCAACAACCTGTGATCGTCTCCACATTGGGATTCCTGGTTAGAGCAGGTCATCAACAACCTGTGCTAGTCTCCACATTGGGATAACCTGTGCTGGTCTCCATATTGGGATTACTGGTTATGGCAGGTCATCAACAACCTGTGCTGGTCTCCACATTGGGATTCCTGGTTAGAGCAGGTCATCAACAACCGGTGCTAGTCTCCACATTGGGATTCCTGGTTAGAGCAGGTCTCCAAATACCTGTGCTCGTCTCCACATTGGGATTCCTGGTTATGGCAGGTCATCAACAACCTGTGCTGGTCTCCACATTGGGATTCCTGGTTAGAGCAGGTCATCAACAACCTGTGCTGGTCTCCACATTGGGATTCCTGGTTAGAGCAGGTCATCAACAACCTGTGCTGGTCTCCACATTGGGATTCCTGGTTAGAGCAGGTCATCAACAACCTGTGCTGGTCTCCACATTGGGATTCCTGGTTACAGCAGGTTCCCAACAACCTGTGCTGGTCTCCACATTGGGATTCCTGGTTAGAGCAGGTCATCAACAACCTGTGCTAGTCTCCACATTGGGATTCCTGGTTAGAGCAGGTCATCAACAACCTGTGCTGGTCTCCATATTGGGATTACTGGTTATGGCAGGTCATCAACAACCTGTGCTGGTCTCCACATTGGGATTCCTGGTTAGAGCAGGTCATCAACAACCGGTGCTAGTCTCCACATTGGGATTCCTGGTTAGAGCAGGTCTCCAAATACCTGTGCTCGTCTCCACATTGGGATTCCTGGTTATGGCAGGTCATCAACAACCGGTGCTGGTCTCCACATTGGGATTCCTGGTTAGAGCAGGTCATCAACAACCTGTGCTGGTCTCCACATTAGGACTCCTGGTGAAAGCACAGGTCCCCAGCTACCAGTGCTGTCCCCACACTGGGATTCTTGGTTAGCACAGGTCCCGAGCTAAATGTGCTGGGCAGGTCTCAAGCAATCTCTGCTGGTTCCCTATGAAGATTCTAGATGAGAATTGGTCCCCAGCAAGTTTAGTAAGTATCCCAGAGGAGATTCCAGGTTAGAATAGGAGTTGAGCAATAGCATGATGAGACTCACCAACTTGGACGACTGCTTGTCGTTGTACCATGGTAGCAAGACCTATGCCCATACCATTTATCCATAAATTGTCTGGTCCAGACTCACTTACCGGTATCTACAGGCTGCTTTCATATAGTTGGAGGATAGGTGAGGACGGTGCATGCAAAGAAGAAACGAACAAAGAGCTCATTTCCATACCTTACCCTGCCCAGGTCATCATCATTCAGTTGTAATATATATAGTGGTGAAGACCACTTTTAACAACAGGATCTCCATAATCTATACTCAGAAATATATGCTGCAACCTACAACGACACAACACAATTACTACAACCGAGTTTAGCGTTAACTATGGTCAAAGGGAAACAACTCTTGTATGACTAATCAAATTTTCATTCGGTACAAACTGTTTATATTTTTCAAACCTATTCTTTCTGTTAGGCCGTTCCATTTACTTTTTGTATACATGTACACTAACTTCGATCTCTAAGAACAAATTAGTACATCAAGACATAGAAATACAAGTTTATCAAAATTGTTCCAGTGTGTTCACAACTCATTAGCTGCATGTTTGAAAGGTGCTATTGAGGTTTAATATATATGTAGTGCTTAAGGAGCATATTCAAACTAGAAATCAGATATTTTAGATTATTAATAATTATGATTCACAAGTAACACAAGTTTTGGCACATAGAGTATGAAAAGAAATATAACTAACATCAAATATTAACATGAACAAATCTAGTAACATAACAAAATCAGCATGGTCAAAGGGGGATAACTCCAAATAATATTTTGCATGTAAATTAGTTGTCAATTCTCTTATCACATACACTTGGTCTGCAGTCCTTGGACTTTTTGAACTTGTGGATGTATACATGTGGTGTCATATTGCTCTTATAACAGCTAAAAATTGGAATATTGTGATAAAAATATGTTCCCGGTTACATTTACAAATCATATCAGTCTCTTCATAGGGTCAATGATAAACACCTGTTAAATTAACATACACATGGTTAATGAACTTATGTACATGCCTTATAGACAGGTTCTTACACAAAAGAAATCTGGAAATTATAAAATATAAAGCATATCATTGATCTTAATGAAGATGCAGGCATTTTCTTCCACGTTATGAAATGACAGTTGTGGATTAACATATTCTTACACTTAATTCCAACACCAGACACACCTAAACAACAATATAAAGGCCCACTTGAGAGAAATATTACCCAAAAATTCATTAAAACAATATGTAAACCATGATTAATCATTTTCCTGTAACAAGCAAATCAACACATTATCATGGTAGGCAATTTGATTAAGAAATGTCACCATGCTGCTGATATTACTTTGACATCAGTACCATTTCCACATGGTGTCGGCCCGAGAAAGCGACATTTCAATTTTTAGTATACCCAGTAAAGCGTCAAACCAGGTTCTGTCGAGCTTTGCTGGGAAAGCATCAACATGATAGTTGCAAATTAGAATTTAGAGTACCGTAAATGAGTTGAGCGTCCATGTGTTTAGTATGTTAAACAAACATGTGAGAAGTGTTGTTTGATCCAAATCAATCCTACGAAAATGTGAGAAGACACATCCCTTTAGATGTAAAACCCTTTTCCAACAGCGAAATACCTATCTTGCGACACATATATATATGGTCTCCAAAAACATTCAATGTTAAAGAAATTATAATGTAATAAAACCACTAAGCATTTGAAGAACTTAAAGTCACTTCTGAATGTATTGTTTAAATCAGCCACCACTTTGGCAGTGAATGATTTGTCATATATCGAATATATCAGTTCCAAAATATGCTGTATCAATAGTATTAATTTATCTATATAAACTACGGTACGGTTCAATAAAACTCTAAATCATTCAAATTCTTTTGTCTTGGATGTTCTTACTCAGTGCCGGGAAAGTCCTAATTAAAAATCACTGAACCCAAAATATGGCCGGTAAAGCCCCACTATATTCTACCTATAGAATTTGAAAGGGCGCTTTCTCGGCTCATAACCTTACACATACATACTCCATCCATGCTGAGGGTGAAACGGTACACCGCGGTATTAGTAGAACACACACATGCATGCACGCACGTACTAACGATACTTGAATCGTATGTTTGTGGGACTGTAATACTAAATAAAACATATGACAAACATGAGTATATTGAAATGTATTTACCACAATCTTGTGAAATGTCTGTAGTATACAATCAATGGAAGTCACTGATAATTAAGGAAGGATAACAATATATGGATGAACAACTTCTTTATTACAGAGAGAGCGACGTTTCACTGTAGGTTCTAACACTGTTATCAAACAAGTAACAACATGGCCATTTGACATACAAACATGGTGTCTTACCTGTCTTATTTCTTTGGGAAATTCATCTAGATGGTCAGTCACACAACCCAAACAGAACCTCTTTGTGAAGAATAAACTGCAATCCTGTAAAAAGTGATTCAGAACAATGTAGCATAGTTCATTTATTTAATTGAGGGAGAGAGGGAGTACCCAGACTGATGCTGGTTTCAGATGCAGGCTAAGATTAGGCTTTATATTCTAGCCACAACCACACAGACCTGGGCCCTTGAAATGTTCTAGCTCTAAGAATTCTTAACTTTGATCGTAGCCAATGAATTAAGGATGGGCTTAAGAAGTTCGTAGGGCTACAAACGTTTCGAGAATAGCTAGCCAGAATTTTTCTTAGAAGGAATGATGCAACTTAAGGGTTCCAGATAACTTTTGGGGGTGTGGGTGTACTTGCACCTCATATTGCATGTGGGGGTGTACTGAGAATTTTGATTTAGACCAACTTTACCAAAGAAACTCGTTATTTGTTTTTGACACGCCATGTTGGATGCTAGACCCAATCCAATGACGTTTCTTCCTACTTCATTTTCGAACAATCTATACTGCAGTAGATTTCTGTTGTTTTTGTCTGTTACTGTTCAAATGAATTATAAATATTCTAATGGTGTATGTTACTGCCTCGCATGCGATAATACCGACACAATATATGTGCAGTTCTCAGTAACAAAATGAGATTTTAGTTTAGTGTAAATGTATTTGAAGATGAGAGAAATAACTGAGTGACCGTGTGATGCGCGAAATGTCTAGTCCGACTGGATATAAAAAGGAACAGTGTAGTTTATAGCCAATCGAAAAAAGTAACACATTTTGTTGCATGGCAACGCAGGGGATTCCCACTGCCGGGGTTCCCTCATGTGTCAACAAACAAGGAGATACATTTAGAAAACTGTTTTTCTACATAAAGTGGACCACCTCTGTGGTGTAGTGGTTAGAGCGTCCACCCGGAGAGCGGAAGGTCGCGGGTTCGATCCCCGACCGCATCATACCAAAAGATGTTAAAATATGGAACTTGTTGGTCCCTGCTTGGCGCTCGGCATTAATGGGTACAACAAGGACTGGTCGGCTCGGAGTCCGTATAATGTGTCTGAGTGGGGTATTCATGCTTCACTGCGGCATGGTATCTCAGTGGGCTAGCACTATAAAACCAGCTTCAGTCTGGGCTAGTACAAGCAGCCGCACATACACATACACACACATGCACGTCGTCATATGAGCGAAATATTCTCAAGCACGACGTTAAACCCAATTTCACCTCACCTCACCTCACATAAAGTGAGAATTCACTGTATCATCAAATGATATACATGTAGTTAATGCGTTTTCATTTCTATACACCCTATCATCCTAAATCAGGAATATGCAGAAATTCCACAAACATTCATGTGGTTCTTAGACAAATGTTAGAGTCTCCCTAAATTGTAACAGCTCTGGTTACTAAAGAAATTTTCGAACCTAGAGTGTCAAGAGTCTTCCCCCCACCCCTCCAACTTACAGCAGCGATGCAGACTGGCTTGTTACACCTAGAACAATGTAACTAACAGAAGTGATGCAGACTGGCTTGTTACACCAAGTCCTCCCTAACTTACAGTAGCGATGCAGACAGGCTTGTTACACCAAGTCCCCCCTAACTTACAGTAGCGATGCAGACAGGCTTGTTACACCAAGTCCCCCCTAACTTACAGCAGCGATGCAGACTGGCTTGTTACACCAAGTCCCCCTAACTTACAGTAGCGATGCAGACAGGCTTGTTAAACCAAGTCCCCCCTAACTTACAGTAGCGATGCAGACAGGCTTGTTACACCAAGTCCCCACTAACTTACAGTAGCGATGCAGACTGGCTTGTTACACCAAGTCCCCCTAACTTACAGTAGCGATGCAGACAGGCTTGTTACACCAAGTCCCCCTAACTTACAGTAGCGATGCAGACAGGCTTGTTAAACCAAGTCCCCCTAACTTACAGTAGCAATGCAGACAGGCTTGTTACACCAAGTCCCCCTAACTTACAGTAGCAATGCAGACAGGCTTGTTACACCAAGTCCCCCTAACTTACAGTAGCGATGCAGACAGGCTTGTTAAACCAAGTCCCCTAACTTACAGTAGCAATGCAGACAGGCTTGTTACACCAAGTCCCCCTAACTTACAGTAGCGATGCAGACAGGCTTGTTACACCAAGTCCCCCCTAGCTTACAGCAGCGATGCAGACTGGCTTGTTACACCAAGTCCCCCTAACTTACAGCAGCGATGCAGACTGGCTTGTTACACCAAGTCCCCCTAACTTACAGCAGCGATGCAGACTGACTTGTTACAATAAGTCCCAACTTACTTACAGCAGTGATGCAGACTGGTTACACCTAGAACCCTGTAACTTACAGTGGCAATGCAGACTGGCTTGTTACACAGAGAACACTGAGCTCCTAAGGTGACTAGACCTCCCTCTGTGCTGAATGGATCCTTCATCACATACGCCTCTTCCAACAATCTGTTAGTCAAACACAAACAGAAGAGAGAAATGGCAATCAGAGGTGATTATTAAAAATACAACAAGCAATATTGTAGGAATGACACCATACACTTGCTTCCAAGAAATGCTTTTCAAACAATGTCTGCTAGATAAGTAGAACTATTTCAAGTTTTAAACACAGCCTAACATGACAGCTATGGAGGCATTGATGACTTTGGGTGGGATCTGAAGAGATAAATTTAGTATTTTTGAAACAAGATACAGCTTCAGTCATTTTAATTTCAGAAATGTATCTTAAACTTGTTTTAAGGGCTCAGTGATGGTAAAAGATTTCCGATTTTCCAATTCTTGAGATCCATGGTAGGAACAAGGCAGTTAGGGTAAAGGAGGTTGGGTAGCCATATTGTAAAGTTGGACTTGTTGCAGCCATAATCAACATCATAAAACGGCCTACCTTTAGACTACAGCACCACAAACTTTAAAAATACGTCATAGTACCCTTTTACATAATTTTATGTGATTTTGTTCCAAGCATGTCCTCGAAACAATGCCCTATCATATGACGCCGGCTTAGCAACAAGTTGTCTAGCTCAGCGAGTGTGTATAAGTTCCGCTCACTGATGTTTCATGTCTACTAGCGGGATACACCCGAACCAGCCCCAAGCCCAACCGGCCCCTTGATATATAACCCAAACCGGCAGCTGGATATTTAACCCAAACCGGCCCCACACCCGAACCGGCCCCTGGGTTAATAAACAGTAACGATGGTTTGGTGGTAATTATCTTTAATGGATTTATTTTTTTATATAAAACGCAAGGTGAAGATAACAGTATACAGTACAGTTGACACTGAGTGAACGCAATCAGTGTCAAGTAAAAGCATACGCTTAAGACAACATGTAAATTAATTTGCTCACGATAAACCGAACATACAACACAATCAGTGTCAAGTAAGAGCATACGCGTAAGACAACATGTACATTAATTCGCTCACGATAATCCGTTCAAAGAAATATTAAAACAACACATTCACTTTAATCGCTCAATGAGACGTCGTTAAAATAACAGTTTAATTTTGGAGCTGAAGATTGTTTTAGTTTTCATACTGTTAGCAGAATTCACTCTGTGAAAGGTGGTTAATGTGTGTTGAAAATATTGACAAATGTTCCACACATGGAAACATGCGAAAATATGAAGGACGACATTATTATTTGTGAATTCGTTACTGGAAACTTTGGCATAACAAAGGTGAAACGTGAATTCATTATATGGATTTATGTGCTATTCTTATATTGGATTAATGTGTCAATTCTGTGGATACGATACAACGAAATGTAAGTACACGTTTTAATAGAGTTCAACATAGTATCGTTTTGCAATTGATCTTTTAGATTCTTAAAGGTCACATGCAACGTAAAACACAACTTTGCAGATTCTGATACCTTTCGGTATGGACTTACCGAAACAAATCATCAAAAATGCAAAGTCAACTTTAAAGTTGAAAAATAACACGATGAAAAAAACCGCGCGAAATCGGAGTTCAAACGATTCACTAATTTTCCCCCGACTTTTCGGGGAAAACTGGTTTCAACAGCTGGGCTGAGCTCATAGCAAGTGCGCAGTGAAATAGGTTCGAGCAACTTGGAAGCGGGCTGTCCCGTGAATACTCGGTGAAGGCTTTGGTGTGAGCCATTTTCCTAATGTTTTGTTGATATCTCACAGGCGCGAGCTTTTTATATGTTATGACAGTAAATAAACTGTTTATATAATTTCATTTGTCTATTTTACCACACGCTCTTCTTCTTACCGAAGTCACTTTCTCAGTTCGATACTAAAAAAGCAATGTCATTATTTAGCGTTGACAGAATTTCTAACTGTGATATAGATATGTCGTTGTCACAGACAAAACTCAATGTCTTGTTTTATTGACACCTGTGTGTCTGCCTGCCTGTCTGCTAATGACAATATTCAATACACAACTGCGATCACTGAACACATGCAATTTGAACTTAACTCCAATCAGGCTATACACCATAAACAAAACGCATTGATTTATGGCCCGAGTTCGGTCTCTGTCACATTATGTAATTACACAGACAGGCAGGTGTGATACTTGAACACATGACATGTTATGATGTCTGTTGATTGCAAAATGTTATACACCAAAAATGAGCATGTATTTACAAAACCCAACATCTCTATATATACACACACAATGAGCCGTGAGGGCATCTGCAAATGAACCAGCCGTTACACTTGAGTGCACACCCACCCGCTCTGACTGGGTTCGGTATCCCGGCTGCTTGTTTCTTGGGAAGTAAACCCAAGTACACAATATTGCACTTTTGATTTGCGATTGTACGCTTATAATTTTGTTTATATGTTTTTTCATAACCAGCAATGTATATTATATGTCATGAATAAGTGATAATTGTGTTTTAATTATGTTTGATTTTTTGGTTGCATGTGACCTTTAAAATAATTACATAAAATGTCCTCTACCACGGGATCTCCGTGATCAGCAGCACTTGCATGTTCACTCGCCTCTCATCGACACTAATATTCGCAAATATATTTTCAAAAATCGACATTACATGTAAAGTCATATGAATAATATGTTTTCGTCAATTATGTTAAAGGAACTTTAACTTATATGTCAATGTAGAAATATTTACTTCTCGGGCTGGTTTGGGTCAAATATCAGGGGCCGGTTCGGGGGTAATTCCTTATGGCATTGAATGAGCCCAACAATATTGAGAGTTTACAGTAGTTGTTTACCAGCGGATGCACAATTTATGGCAAGCACCAGTTTATGAAAGCACTTATATTTTAAACATATCTTATATTTCACTTTCAACGTATCTTTTAGGACTAACCCTAGGTACCAAATATGAAAAGAATCTAGTGAACGGTTCTTAAGATATTCCAATTCGTACGTACGTACAGACGGCCTGACGGAGCCTAAGCGCGGCGGGGGATAACAAATAGAATACATTTGAAGCGGTGGTTACGGGCGGAACTTTAGTGATCTTTGGAGTATCACTACGTATCTCACTTAGATTAACCGTTGTGTTGTCAAACTGTTTACACAATGTGTTGACAGACGTTAGGCACCAGATTAATGTATGTGCTGTGTGCCTTCTCCGTCTGAAACGTACGCGCGAAAACTGTGTGCATGCATAAACTGTTACAAGCGCCACAAACGGCGAAACAAATTAGCGAGACACGTACATCAGAGATTTCAGAAACGGAGGTTTGGTGCCGTGGTAATTATATTTCGCCTTGAAGTTGCAGTTTGAACAAATAAATTCCTTTTCTTCTTCTTTGGATTTGGAGTCTTCCATCGTTGGTTGTTGTTCCGTCTGCTGTTGTTGGAAAACATGTAGAGACAGCTGTACGTGTAGTTTCGTATAAAATTTTCAGTTTATTTGAGAGCTTTACAATAGCGTCGTTTCAAGGTAAAGTCTATATTTAAAATAAGATAGTGGGTGATTAAACAAATTCACTAATAATATTCTAGCTTAGATACGAAACCATATCTTTTCTAAGACTGAGATGAGCGGGTTGCACAAGGACAGAGTGCTAGTTATTCCATCAAAGTAAAGTACTAAGGATGTGTGTCTGAGATAACACCCTTGGTTACATCACGTCCGTTGTTATCACACACTACCAATACAATGGTGCCTATTACTGTTCATACTTTAGGACAGAAATTCAGAAATTGCAAATGTGAAATGCAAAAAAACAAACACACAATAGTGTTCAATTATCTTTAAATTTCAAATCATTTTACAGAACAGCTAAGCATAATGTGGACCTAAAACGGGGGAAATCCCAATTTTAGGCATGTGCTTACATCAATAATTGAAATCCTGGTATTTATGATTTAATTATTTTATTTATATTTTTTTATTTATATTTATTTAGCGCCAATATCCAGATCACCTGCTCAAAGGCGCATTATTTTTTCCCTCGATCATTGGATGTCAGTCTCAAACGGCATATTGTATTATCAATCTCAACTCCCAGGGGAGCATACAACTCTTGCAGCCACTAGGCGCACCGAGTTAATGTGGCTTTCCCATCCTTACGAGGTACCCATTCACAGCTGGGTGGACTGGGACACGTAGTCACAGTATTTTGTCCAAGTGTACTGCACGTTGCTGTACCCGCAACTAGGTGTTTGCATGTATTCATGTGGCCACCATCTGGTCATATACCAACGGATTCGTGGGTTCTTTTAAGTGTACAGAGTTGTGTACTGTACACTAGGGGTTGTTACAACACTGAAAGAGTCTGCACGCAAAGTTGACTCCAAGGATTTTACACCTGGTCACAGGTGGGCTCGATCCCGTCACCTCAAGCTCGCTGGATCACTAATTAATTATGTTTAATATTTGCAATGGTAAAGGATTATATTTTTCTTACTGTTTGCCCATTTTACTTACAGAAAATATGCCTGACATTGCAGACAAAATATAATGTGTGTTTGCATAGGGTTGTTCAGTTTATTATTTTATGTATTTAAAAAGTATAATTATTGAGCATGTTTATTGTTGGAAAATATTTTGTGGAACTGATCTGACGAATATGTGAAAGAAAAAAAATCAATTATAAGTATATTTTTCTTGCTTCACAGAAAACACTGCACAAAACATGATCATAACTAATCATTCATAATTGATATTTTTTAACTGGAAGGATATTATATTCAAATAGGTTTCATCAGTGAAATATCATCCTCTGGTAAAAATATTTCTTTGTATGTTTCATTTTACTTTTTCTTCATTAGTGAAAATGAACGACAAATAACCTGTGACAGAATTCTTAAAAGTTTAGTTATCACTGAATATTGTAAGATGATAAAAGCACATTGTTAAACATAAACACTAATTGGCCAGGCCTGCATCAATCATTGTTTAGTTATATTCAGAAGAGACCAAGCTAAGTCAGAGGAACTAGTAATCACAGGAAACATGACCTGTTTCTTCAATCAAGTTACATGTAACGGCAAGGTTAGGGAGTAGAAGTGTAAGAAGCACTCGTAAAATCCTTCAACAAGCCTGCAGCACAGGTTTATGACAAAGCCAGGACCGCTCATAATTTTAAAGGGGGTAGGGGATGGGGTGTCACCCATTTTGTTCTATGGAGGTAAGGGGGTCCCTTACTCTGTACAGGTGTTGTTGTTGTTTTGGGGGGGTGGAGGGAGAGAAGAGGTCATGTACATGCTTTTCCATAAAAATCATCTCACTCACTCACACTCACACTCACACTCTCTCTCACACACACACACACACACACACACACACACACACACACACACACACACACACACACACACACACATCCCTCCTTGCCATAAGTTAGCATTGCATGGATAAGGCATTGAAAAGGTCCCAGATTATTACCATTCAAAATGTGTCCCTCAGTGGTCATGGTTAATGGAAATATTGGTAGAGCACAATTGTCCTTAGCCATTTTGCATGGCTTTTTTAGCAGGTCATGGAGTCATCCCACAGAAGTTCTGACGGTTAGTTAACCTCTTTTAGCCATGGGTACAGAGCATCCAACTTCAGATTAAAAGGTCTGTGGTCGAATCCCATCATGGGACTCAGAAATTTTAAGGCTTCTACATTGGTGTCTAAGGGGTTGCTGAGCATGCTCAAATTAGCCATTGAAGCAGCCATAAAATACCCCCAGTCCCTTGATAGGTTTCTGGCATCTGACAAGGTAAGGATGTCATCTGTGGGATGACTCCATGCCATGCCACTCATTCACAAAATGCAGAACATGTAGCAGATGTTGATACCTTCTTTGTCGGTGTAGATTAAAAAATAAACAAAATATTGATAATTAAGAGCTTAATAGATATTGAACTTTTCATTTTATGAAAAAAACATGTTATTCATATAGAGCATGTACTTAACTCAGAGTTGCCTCTCTTTAGGACATTCTCCACAGTCAACAAAACCTGGCATGTTGTGGACATTAGGCTATGACAAAGTTTATAATAATTCAAGGAACATCATGATGGTGAAGGGAGTTCTCATCAAATTATTCAAGTATAAAATGAATAATGGTGAATGATTGCAACATGATGACAATGCTGGTTTGAGATGCTGAAGTAATTACAATACCGGTTTATGAATCACTTGGGGCCATGGGGTAGCCTAGTGGTTAAAGTGGTTGCTCGTCACGCTGAAGGCCTGGGTTTGATTCCCCACATTGGTACAATGTGTGAAGCCCATTTATGGTGTCCCATGCTGTGATATTGCTGGAATATTGCTAAACGTGGCGTAAAAGTAAACTCACTCACTAGTGGTGGTCCGATTAATTGAAGTAATCGAAGATTGGTCGCAGTGACTAAACGACCAAGCAATCGATTATGTTTTCTCTCATAATCGAACACAAACAATTTTGGAACACTTGTTTGCATTAATAACATTTTTCAAAAGGTCGGTTTTGTCTATTACATTTCATAAGTACTACAAGCTCTTTCCAAGTCATGACTGAATTTATCTTAAAGATTCCAGGAAATTTATGTTCCTAACATACTAGTCATCCTTTAAAGATGTGAAATTTGTAAATACATTTTGTGCAATTTGCCAAGAAACCCAAAAGAACTACATGTTTTTTCAAAAATTTTGTGCTTTAACAAACATAACCAGGAGAATTTGATAAATCTCGCTAACCAATTTTTTTCGATGATTGATCGGTTGTAATGAACCAGTCATCTATTGTGAGATTTTAGCCAATTCCCAACACTATCACTCACTATGAATCACTTTTGGGATTCCATAGCAGACATGATTGCCAGCTCATAGCTGCAGACTGGTGGAAATCTGGTGGTTACAATGTGTGAACTGACTGATTGTGTGTCGTCATACCTAGGTAGTGTGGATCGATGCTCATGCTGTTAACCTCTGGTTGTCGGGTCATCACACTGTTATCTATAGGTTGTAGTGATAGACCTGTGATATAACTAATGTGTCATAAAACTGCATTCACTCGCTAGTCCTCTTGCTCTCATATAAGATGATCTTGTTACAGCTTCTACGGATGGCCCCATGGTCTAGTGGATAGAGTGTTTGCCTGGTGAGTCAAGTTCAGTAGTTTGATTCCCGGCCACATGAAGCCAAAAGACATTATTTCCTGTTGCTTGCATGGCATTCATCATTATCCTCCTGGATTCTGAGTTATATTTCAGACGCACAATTTTATATAATCTGTCTTATTCAATATAGTCAACCCTGAAAATAATGGAATAATTAAATTACACCAATAAGTAAGAGAATTTCTGTGTGAACGGACCCCAAAATTAAGATATGAAAATGTATTTACCATAATATGATTGAGATAGAATACGCTGCATGATTGAGGAGGATCAGTCCCTGCAGAGACTAGATATATTATCTACAGGAAGCTCTACACATTGTAGAGGAAGCTTCGTACATTGTAGAAAGGTATGGATTAAGGCATGGTAGAACCTTCCAAGATGGTATCGACAGACAACATCACGTCGGGAGACTAACATCCTGGGTACTTGCCGAAACAGTCAAACAATTTGCAGCTACGGCCTTAATTATGTCATACGAGGTGTATAAACTAGACTTCCTTCCTGTCCTTGAGAGCCCCCAGTGCACACTCAGAGTCTACAGGATAGTGTTACTTACTGAATTTCTCCCAGATACCATTGTCAGGGGGTTGGAAGGAGTCACTTGGACTGGTATCTCCGTGTCAGACTTTGGTTGTGATTTGCCAGACAACAGGACTGTTGGATGTTGTATTATTCCTCAATTATGGGATTGTTAGCAAATATTGGAATAACCTATGTTATAATACAGGCCGCTGTAATATTTGCTGTTATTTCTGATGGATCGTCCGAGCGTTTCTGCAACCATACTTTTACATCTAATTTTACAACGCAGTGCACGGCTTGTGTCCGTAACAAGGACGTGGAGTGTCCATACAATGCCACGAAGCTGAGCTCTGGAAGGGGGGTGGCTGAATGCACGTACATCGTGACGCTTGGCGGGTCCAAGATCGTACAACTGGCTGGCTGTCACCACCTGTGTTATCGCACAGCTATCTCCGTCAGGTGCTGCCCAGGACACTGGGGGCCACAGTGTGAAGGTAAGGTCCTAACTTACATCAAAGACCAAGATTGGTGCACTCGCACCCTTCCACCCGGACCCCGTCCATCATTCAGTTACCTTACATGTCCGCCAAGTATGTTTTGTCTGTTTAGTGACTGTAGTCTGTAATTCCCCTTTAGCTGTAATATTGCTGACTCTGGTGAATGCAAGTCTACCTGTTGGGAATCTGAGGAACAATATCTTCTCAGTATCCCATGCTGGTCTCTGTGTGGTGGGGTTGCCTAGTGGTTAAAGTGTCCCCTCGTTATGCCGAAGATCTGGGTTCAGTTCCCCACATGGGCACAGTGTGTGAAGGCCATTTCTGGTGTTCTCTGCCATGATATTGATGGAATATTGCTAAAAGCGGCGTGAAACCTCACTCACTCACTCACTCACTCACTCACTCACTCACTCACTCACTCACTCACTCACTCACTCACTCACTCACTCACTCTCACTGTCAATGTATATTTCCGTATTGTCACAGTTTCTCATCAGCAACCATTGGGCACAATTTTTATTGTAACAGGGATGTGAAATGGGCGTTTCAGGTTGTTGCAAAATACTTTCATTTTCTAACTGATTGCCATGTTGTATTAAGTATCAATATGAAGAAGATGCTAGTTTGTACAAAGCACTATACCAACGGTCATTGTATGGTCTCTGATTATGCATATCACATGAGTATGCTGGGGTGACTCCGTAGAGTTGTGTCCCTTAGTTGTAGCAGACACCTGTGATGATGAACTTGAATCAGCTTTCAAACCAACTTCCTCACTAACCTGAATGAGCTATGAAGGATGGAGCTTTTTCAGCCTCTGTGACAATATTCCAGCAGTATCACAGAGGAGAACACCAAAAATGAACTATCACACTTTCTATGTTCGGAAACTAACGAGTTGCTAAGGAATCATTTTCACTCTCACTCACTCACTCACTCACTCACTCACTCTGCGGTAGCATACCGAGACAGGATATGACCTCTATACCTGATACTTGTCTCCCTGTGTGGATTCTTCAGTATCCCATACATGTCTCTGTTTGTTGATTCTGTGACAGAATAGGTCCTCAGCACCCATGTTAAGACTTCCTATGGCGATTCAAGGTCTGAATATCTGCCCACTATCCCATATTGCCTCCCTCTGTGGATTCAAAAACAGAATAACATGTGAAGATCTGGATTAAAATTGGTCTACAGCATCCCATGCTTGTCGTAAGAGGTGACTACTGGCATCGGGTGCTCATGCTGTTGATCACTAGATTATCTGGTCCAGACTCAATTATTTACAGATCGCTGCCATATAGCTGGAATATTGCTGACTGCGGCATTAAACAATAATCAAACAAATAAGAAACTGTTAATGTGGGATTCAATTTAACAAGTGGCAAGTTTTTATTTTAGTTGAGTATATAACACTGATGTCATGTGACATGGTCATAATGTATACCATATAAGAACAAGACAAAGTGTCTCCTCTGTACATTGTGACATTAATTACTCAGCAGGACATGTTGCAACATTGTTCCACACGTGACTGTGACAAGCCCATGCTGTGCTCAGATTACCATCTACTGCTGGTTACATACACTAACAACTAGTCTCTGAAATGAACATATTTTACTGAAAAAGGTTCATAGTAAAAAAAAATACAATATAATGAAAAGGAGCCCTGAGACTTTCTTCATTTTCAGAATTCAGCAGATTGGTACAGACCCTGAAGCTGAGGAAATCTAGACTTGCCACATTTTCTAGACTTGTGTGGGCTTTCTGGATATATTTGCTTCAGGGTCTGTTCAACAGACTACTGGTTACACTGACTATCAGAACCTGGGCCTCACGGTTCCTGGTGTAGAGCTCAAGTGTAAGACAGCTGCTTGGCTTCCTATTGTAGAAGGAGGTGGGGAAATTTACAGGAGCAAGACATTGTTAGTTGTAAAATATATAATGAGGAATGATTTCTGAGTGCTCTCATTATTGTGTCGCTTGTTGAATTACTTTGGTAAAATGTGAAGCGTAAATTTATTGTTTGTTTACCTTGGTTAGTAGAATACTTGATTATTTAAATATTTTAGTTTGAATTGAAAGTAGAACTGCACAAAATATCAGCATATTCACAAAGCTAGACTATTTTTTATTATTCGATTTTGTGTGCTCTGAGGAAACAAATCACATCTTCTTCAACTTTCCCTGAACATGTGACCAGTTTAGGCCTAAAAAAAAATGTTGTGATTCCGATTACCCAGCCTACCATTGAATTCTGGTGCCGATCCTATTTTTCATAATTGGCCTTACAGTGCCACAATTCACTGTACAGAGTGGTGTCCCTTAAGTACAGAAACCTATGGTTCAAATCCCAGTTGACCAGCACCACTGGGCTTCTCTCCCACGTGAGCTGACATGCCTGATGCACTCACTCACTCACTCACTCACTCACTCACTCACTCACTCACTGTCTCACTGTATCATTCACTCACTCACTCACTCACTCACTGTATATTTCAGTATTGTCACAGTTTCTCATCAGCAACCATTTGACACAATTTTTAATTGTAACAGGGATGTGAAATAATTTGCTTTAGAAATTTTATGGGGCGTTTCAGGTTATTGCAAAATACTTTCATTTTCTAACGGATTGCCATGTTGTATTAAGTATCAATATGAAGAAGATGCTAGTTTGTACAAAGCACTATACCAACGGTCATTCTATGGTCTCTGATTATGCATATCACATGCTTATGCTGGGGTGATTCCCGTAGAGTTGTGTCCCTTAGTTGTAGCAGACACCTGTGATGATGAACTTGAATCAGCTTTCAAACCAACTTCCTCACTAACCTGAATGAGCTATGAAGGATGAAGCTTTTTCAGCCTCTGTGACAATATTCCAGCAGTATCACAGAGGAGAACACCAAAAATGAACTATCACACTTTCTATGTTCGGAAACTAACGAGTTGCTAAGGAATCATTTTTTATACATCTTTTGTCCGCGTAGGCATTGAGAAACTACAGGAGCCCAGACTGTGGCACACATGTACCACAGTATATGCATCTGAATTTCTGTGTAGTCCAGACCCTTGACAAACCACACATACCTTTAGTGGTCCAGACCCTTGACAAACCACACATACCTTTAGTGGTCCAGACCCTTGACAAACCACACATACCTTTAGTGGTCCAGACTCTTGATGTAAGGATCTGGTTTGGTTTATTATTTCAAGTGATATCATTTGGGCGTAGAGCATTTGAAACTAAAAGGCAGATAAATACAGGTGACTAAACAGGCAAAGATAATTACAGGTGACTGAAGGCTAATTACAGGTGACTAAAGGCAGATAATTACAGGTGACTAAAGGGCGGTGGCTAAAGGCAGATAATTACAGGTGACTAAAGGCAGATAATTACAGGTGACTAAAGGCAGATAATTACAGGTGACTAAAGGGCAGATAATTACAGGTGATCAAAGGGCAGATAATTACAGGTGGCTAAAGGGCAGATAATTACAAGTGACTAAAGGGCAGATAATTACAGGTGATTAAAGGGCAGATAATTACAGGTGACGCAGGTATCAACGTTTGTATGTTTGTCTGTTTTCAAGAGCGCATATGGAACGGTAAGAAAACATATTATCATGAATTGATGTGTTTGCAATGATTGGTAATTTATAAGTTATTGTAAGTAAATGAATGAAAACTAGGCAGTCCGTAATACGTTATGACTAAGTTATGTGCAGTTGTAAACATTTAACATTACTGCTGTATATGAATCTAAGTTAGTTTTGTTTATTGTTACAGTCAATCACATCTCAAGTCAACTCAATTCAACCAATCTTCTAAGAATAAAGATATGACATCGCTCTCTCATAATCATCATTCGTTCGTTCGTTACTTATAATACTTGACAAACCACACATAGTGGTCCAGACCCTTGACAAACCACACATAGTGGCCCAGACCCTTGACAAACCACACATAGTGGCCCAGACCCTTGACAAACCACACATAGTGGTCCAGACCCTTGACAAACCACACATAGTGGTCCAGACCCTTGACAAACCACACATAGTGGTCCAGACCCTTGACAAACCACACATAGTGGTCCAGACCCTTGACAAACCACACATAGTGGTCCAGACCCTTGGACCCACATTGACCCTTGAAAACCACACATAGTGGTCCAGACCCTTGACAAACACATAGTGGTCCAGGCCCTTGACAAACCACACATAGTGGTCCAGACCCTTGACAAACCACACATAGTGGTCCAGACCCTTGACAAACCACACATAGTGGTCCAGACCCTTGACAAACCACACATAGTGGTCCAGACCCTTGACAAACCACACATAGTGGTCCAGACCCTTGACAAACCACACAGAGTGGTCCAGACCCTTGACAAACCACACATAGTGGTCCAGACCCTTGACAAACCACACATAGTGGTCCAGACCCTTGACAAACCACACAGAGTGGTCCAGACCCTTGACAAACCACACATAGTGGTCCAGACCCTTGACAAACCACACATAGTGGTCAGTAGCAGTAGTAACACAGTGTAGATAGTCACTTGTGTAGATAGTACTTGGACGGAAGTGGCTCATTACTTGTACTCTACTGTTGACGCCAGCGTGAGTGCAATACATTGACCGGAGCCTCTGGTCAAGCTGGTATCGACTTCCCACGTCAGCTGGAAGTGTTCACATTGCATTAATGGGGACCCAGCCAGGAAACGACCATGTAATGTCATTGTTGATTTTCAAGATAATATTCAGTTTGAAAAACACATCTTCAACATTTCAAGTAGAGTCATAAAAATCTTTTCCAAGTTTAATATACTGTAATATACTGCTACTTAAATAGTAATAGACTTATTTGTCCTTTTTTGCAATAAACCTAATCAATGATTTGCAAATTATACCACAATATGGTAAGAAATTCTATGCTTGACTTTTGTTGCAAAATTTACAATCAATTTCAACAAGTGTAAAGATATTGTTTAATCTTATGATTTAATGATTACAGTACCGGTATATTAGACTTGAGAGTTATAAGAAATATAGCTGGGACTTTTATGTTTGAGGAAGTCATGGACAATGTTTACATTTTGAAAAATTGATTACGATGCTCATTCTGTATCAGTGACTAATGGAGATACGGCACACGTCTTTTTCTGTATTGGAATAGGGCCACAGACAATATATCGATAGTTTTCCGTGCCCCTCATCAGCTGATGCAGGGACCTGTGAGGATCCAGGATAGAATTGGTCACCAGCATTCCCATGCTTGTCATAAGAGGTGACTAACTAGATTGGATGGTCAGGCTCACAGACTTGGTTGACACATGTCACCGTCTCCCATTTGTGTATATAGATGCATGTGCTGTTGATCAGTGGATTTTCTGGTCCAGACTCGATTATTTACAGACTGCCACCATATAGCTAGAATATTGCTGGGTCAAGCTTTAAGCAACAAACCAACCAGTCATCTGATGCAGGAGGTCAGTACAGATAGGCAGCCATGATTCACAATCAGCAAGGATGTTGATGTAATGGTAACTCTCTGTTACTTCCAGAGTGTCCAGGAGGTGTCGACAATGTGTGCAGTGGTCACGGTCTGTGCAGCGAGGGTATCGACGGAATCGGCACTTGCGACTGTGATGTAAGTGAGAGGTCTGACATAGCTAAACAGAAACTGTATTGACAATATATGTGTATTCTGCTAAAACTATTAGATTCTGTCCACTGCCAAGGTCTAAGAATTTGTAATGGAACTTCCCCTGTTAGTCTCTACGTCGGGTCCGATCTCTGAAACGCCTTCAGTAAAATTGTGCATGTTCTATTTTTCACATGATAAAAGGGAGAAGAACTGATCGTTGTCCTTTAGTAGACCACTGAATGTGCTGATGATTAGTTTGTCGATATTTCAAATGGTAAAAATAAAACATTGTGCTGTGGTATGTAATATTTATATTGACTTAAATTGTTATACCTAACTTGTGTGATATCAGACATGTGGACCTGAACATTGACACCTCAGGTGTGTGATGTCAGACATGTGGACCTGAACATTGACACCTCAGGTGTGTGATGTCAGACATGTGGAGCTGAACATTGACACCTTAGGTGTGTGATGCCAGACATGTGGACCTGAACATTGACACCTCCGGTGTGTAATGTCAGACATGTGGACCTGAATGTCAGACATGGACCTGAACATTGACACTTCAGGTGTGTGATGTCAGACATGGACCTGAACATTGACACCTCATGTGTGTGATATCAGACATGTGGACCTGAACATTGACACCTCAGTGTGTGATATCAGACATGTGGACCTGAACATTGACACCTCAGGTGTGTGATATCAGACATGTGGACCTGAACATTGACACCTCAGGTGTGTGATATCAGACATGTGGACCTGAACATTGACACCTCAGGTGTGTGATATCAGACATGTGGGCCTGAACATTGACACCTCAGGTGTGTGATATCAGACATGTGGACCTGAACATTGACACCTCAGGTGTGTGATATCAGACATGTGGACCTGAACATTGACACCTCAGGTGTGTGATGTCAGACATGTGGACCTGAACATTGACACCTCAGGTGTGTGATATCAGACATGTGGACCTGAACATTGACACCTCAGGTGTGTGATATCAGACATGTGGACCTGAAATGTTTTTCTGATATACAGCTGTTTTGTAGCCTTATTGTTTTGGTAAATTATCAATACCTAATAGATCATGTTCCATAATTTTCCATTAATGATCCCTTTTCAGGAGAATTTCACCGGTACAGTGTGTGAGCTGTGTGCCAACAGTACTTTCTATGGCCCCAACTGTACTGAAGGTAGGTGGAGTGAGTGAGTGAGTGAGGATTGTGGCCCCAAATTGAACCAAAGTTGGGTAGACGTGGACATTTTTTCATTATCTTAATGTTTCTTTTATATTTTCATCTGTTTTTTTTGTGGGCCCTTTGGCGACAATATACAATCTTACCTATCCAAGAGCAAAATATGCAATCTTACGTATCCAAGTGCATCACATTTTCAATTACTACATCCACAAATAGTATTTTGAGCCAGTTAAAGTTGCTGTTGAATATATCGTTGATGGAGCCTCCTGTTACGGTGTATGTTGTAGAGTGCCAGTGTGGCAATGGAACATGTAACAGTGGAGTGTATGGAGACGGGTCATGTGACTGCTTTAGTGGATTCAAGGGAGACTACTGTGATATCAGTAAGTATGTCCATCTAGAGAGACACTTTAGCAATATTAATATTACATATAACATTAATATTAATATTCAGTTAGCTGCAACAGTGGTCAGTCTTCCAAAATGGGCTGGGGATCCAGGGGAAAGGTGATCTTCACACAACTACTGGTCTTCATCAAATGTGAGATCTAATATGAGACTACGCTATTCCCGGTGTTCCAAACCAGTCTTTACTACCAATCTGTATGTAGTAGTACAGGAGCAAAGTCAGATCAAATTAGTTTTGTTCAGCGCCTATTATCAGTCCCTCCTGGATTCTGCGGTTGCAGAATAAATCATGGAAATTACCTTTTGATGCAGAAAAACGTTTGGTCCGCGGAAAACGCACTTTCATGCAGAATACTCTGTGGAATTTGACATTTTTCAGCCGCGGAACTTACTTATTTTGAAAGGTGAATGAAGATTGACAATCAACCGAAATGAAAAATAGGGGTAAAAGAACACAAAAACGAACTGAGACATTTGTTATAATGATATTTTCAATATATTCATGAATAACGATGATTTATTCATAAGGTAATCATTTCTAAAGCACCTTTTTAATAATATTATATGAATTTGACATTGCAATTATGTTCACAAAATCGATGTTTTTGAAGGTTGAAATGAATTAATTTAGTATTTTTTAGTTTTTAACTGAAGAATGTTTTGCAGAATTTTGAAAAATGGGATACAGAATTTACTTAAATTTGCCCCGGAATTCTTAAAATTCGCTGTGGAATCCAGGAGGGACTGTATTACACTGATCCCAAGGAAGTGGCAGTGATGGAAGACATTTTTCAAAATGGCTGATATTTGGCAAATTAACCATTCTGAACATGGTTTGGTATGTACTGTGTATACAATATTAAATCATCTTGGTTTCTGGAACTTGATAGCCATCTTAACAAAAGCTAGGGCTTGTAATAGTTGAACACAGTATGAGTATGATTAGGCTCAAACTGATTTGTCATGTGTATGTTTTGTTCATCAGCTATTATGGGTTGTGAAAACATGACGTGTGACAACAACAGCCGGTGTCAGGAGATTGATGGCAACACCACCTGTGTTTGTGATCATGGATATGAGGAAAGCGACAATAATTCCTGTTCTCGTAAGTAATTGAACTCAAGATTTACATGTCATCAGGTAAAAACTGTAAAATTAGTTTGATTTTCAACAAAATCAGTTTCTCCTACACATTATGAAAAAATCCCAATGTGCTTTAGTTTTATCATTGTCTGTGGGGATTCAAGATCAGAACAGGTGGCCAACTTACTAAAGAGGCCACCAAGTGGATTGGCCAATGACTTGATTGATTTCTTCATACCCTGACACTGCTCATACAAAAAGCCAGACTTGATCATGTACAGAACACGTCATAGAACTGGAATATTTCTGAGTGTGGCATGGAACATGAAACAAACTTGAATCTTTGGAAAAAAAATGTTTACTTCCCATGATTCCCTCTTTAGGAAGACATAGCCCTTGGCGCACAGATATAGATCATCAGTACAACACATTCGTCACTTGTGAATACACGAGAAATAACACCAAGGTAAAACAGTAACTTATGTTATATTTGGGATTACACTTTCTCAATAAAGTAGAGATTCTAGTACTTTTGCTACATTGAGTCTAGTACAAGATTTGAACCCTCACTGTAAGAGTGAGGCATCTAATCGTAAGCACACAAAGTCAGCCGTCTAACCTGCTCAGCCATCACAGCTTCTACAAAAATGGAAGTCGGACAACTGGCAGTCTAGATCACCTACTCTGATCAGTGGCAGGTTCCCCTCTTGCTAGAGCCAGGAGTGATTCCTTGTTGAATATATGGCATGCATTCCTGATGAGGAGGAACATATATGTTCATGTCAGGGTTTTACGAGTCGCACAAATGGGGAGAATGGATGCAGAAACCCAAAAATACTGTGCCCGAAGAGACGCACAAATATGCCTGTCGTGCATCAGGCGAAGTTATCTGTGTCTGTAATTTTACCCATCAGTCATGACCACTGTCCACATGACCACTGATTCATTCCAGGTGTTGAAGTAGTTATCTGAATGTACACTACTCTACACCATTTCAGTACTTTACTGGACGACCGCCTCTGTGGTGTAGTGGTTAGAGCGTCCGCCCGGAGAGCGGAAGGTCGCGGGTTCGATCCCGACCGCGTGATACCAAAAGACGATAAAATATGGTACTTGTTGGTCCCTGCCTGGCGCTCGGCATTAATGGGTACAACAAGGACTGGTCTGGGCTAGTACAAGCAGCCGCACATACACATACACAAGCATGCACTCCATCATATGAGCAAAATATTCTAAAGCACGACGTTAAACCCAATTTCACCTCACCTCACCTCACCTCACTTTACTGGACCCTCGTCTTGCCAGCAAGGACCTGTAGCCTTCATTGATGGGGGTATGTTGGGCCCCACTTTTGTAAGTCATGGTAAAACCCAGCATGTTCATGTTCTTGAACTACAGTGGGGTAGAAGACATATTATGTTTACTAATGCTTGTGTTTTACAATGTTTCATGGACACACTAAGAGGTTGTTTACTATCTCCGGCAGCCATTGACAACTGTCTGGATTCCCCGTGCCACGTGTATGCTACGTGTACCCCCACTGGCCCCGCTGAACATCGGTGTGACTGCAACTCTGGATATTCTGGGGACGGCGTCTACTGCGAGCCCATCAACCCTTGTCAGGTGGACAACGGTGGTTGTGTGGTCCTCAAGTCTGTCTGCATGTACATGGGACCAAATAGGGTAGGTGGCTTACTATAACTGACTGCATGAACCAGAGATGCCAACCTATACTATTTCATCGTATTCGTTACAAAAAAAAACACACAAAATACGCTAGTATGATAGCAGTAAAAATATACAAGTTTTTCAATAAAATACATCGAATTAAATTATCAAATAGCATACGTACCATACACTATAACTTTCAACCACATTTTATTCAGTATCAGGCTATATGTGGATACTTAATACTGATTTAGGCGAGTACACTGTTAAAGATCACATATACTCTAGGGGGGTACAAATACATGTACATAAATCACTAATTGGCATCGTTATAAATGAAACCCCGTCATTAAAACTACTCATTTCGATCTTTAATTAACTTAAATCGACCTTTTTGACAACAGTGCACAATTCTCAGCTGCGAACGAAATTTCAACCAATCAGAGCGGCGCATCTCTGTGACGTCATATGAGGAATAGATATGAGGGCCGATGCAGTATTCAAGTACATTTCAGGGTATAAATTATCTTGTTTACAGGTTTGTACAAACCTGAAATCATGATAACTGTTGTGAAAAATGAAAGCTATATGTTCTCACAATCTACTGTCATTTGATTCTGTCTCCTTCTTTTCTTAGTTTCCGAGTTACAACTTGTTTTCATAGACGATTCTGTCAAAATCGCTTGGGGTCGCGGTTATGGCCCGGGAAAGCGAAATCTGGACTAAACCTCCTCAATTTAGGTTTCAATTTTGCGGGAACGGTCAAGCTACAGTTAACACTGAATTTCGCATTCCCGGGACTCTCAATACACAAGAAAAACAAAGAAGTGTGAATCGTCGTCTGATACCGTAGTCATGGTAGAAATTTAATATATAAATAACAATAAATGTTTGAGCCACAGACTGTTCGACGATAAGTCACATGGATGGATCATGTGGAGGTGGAATTGAAAATATCGTGCATAGACAACTTACATCGTTAAGTATTCATTGACGTAATTTGTTACTTATATATATAGGGCGATAACAACCTAAAACTACTTTCACTTGTCAAATTTTGATTCACATTTGATATTTCGGCAATACTAGACAACAAAACACAAAAGTTTGTTCTTCATGACACTAAATATAACAAAACTTCCCTTGGATAAAATTTTGCAGCAAGCTAAAATGCAAAGAATACGCACTACCGACAGCAAAAATGCCTCCATAGAACCAAATGTTTGCTTCTGACGCTGCAATATAACTTACTGCAGTCTTAATGAAGGTTAATACTTATTGTAAATTTAGTGTTATTTAGAATACCTGCACAGATACACCTAGATTTAATATCAAATTTGAAAGCACCGACAGCCAAAATGTCGGCGACAGCAATTGTCCCAGTTAACTGAGAATTAGTGAGATCTGCTCGAACAACCGTCTTTGCATGGTGGATTAAACAACAAACAAATTTTACTACACAGCTCCAATACTTCTTTTCTCGGAGGGTTTTCCTACGCCCAAGCTTAAACTTGTCATAGATCAAGTGCTGAAACTTGAAACAGCTGAAACTTCATCTCAGCTAAGAGGCTAACAGATCGAGTATTGGGGTCGCGCGCTAATCTGAAGTACGGTAATCCAATGTTTTCATAGCAATTCGCTTTCGCAGCACTTCTAGCACAACTTTGGTTTTCGCTTTACCGGGAATATGGAATATTGAAATTTCGCTTTCCGGGCCGACACCGGTGTCGCTAGGCCTTATTTGTTCGAGCCAAACGCTAGTGATAGTGAAAACGATGATCAGCCTCTCTCATCACGGTTACGGTTAATTTCTTCAACCTAAACAGTTCGACATTAAGAAGGGTGGATGCCCATCAGATGCAGTTATTTGAAAATATCCCCGGTAGTTCTCGTCTGATTGTAATAAAGTATCAAAGCAGTGTGGGTTTTTTCAGCTTTTCTAATGCCTAGATGGTATAATGACTGATCCAAATTGATCCCATTTCTGTGTTTTTTACCTCGATATTTAATCATGTCATGTAAAAATATGACGTATATTACGTATGATATTAAAAATTGACATTTGATTTATTTGAATCTGTAAACTAAACAACCCTACTTTGCCATTGCTAGAAGAATCTGAAAATAGGTAAATAGGTACATACAGTTTTAGCACACAGAAAATGCCTATATGTATTTCTTATGCAATGTTCTGTTTGTATCTCAAAACAGCGTCGGCCCATAAGTTTTCATATATTGCATGCAATACAGCAGTTAATACTCCCTTGTTGTAACCAGTGTTAGGTTGTATAAACCTACACATGTTATTTGTCATCATTTACTTGATGGTCAGTTAATGAAATTATAACAGGTATAATTAGTGGTAACACCACTTAGATTACCCGACAAAGGTTCCCATTTGTCATTTCTTGTGTCTGGAGTAAACAAACCATTATCTCATTAATTCTAACAGACTTTAGCCTCTGACTTTACGATTTTCAAAAATGGCGGCGCCCTGTCGCGAACATCTGCCAGTCTGAGGATAAATGCTATTTAGGTTTGTTTTCACCGAGTTACAAAATCAAAACTACTTTCTACTGGTAGTAAAATATGTATTTGATTGATGGCAAATCGGATTTTGCACTACATAGCTTATAACATAACAATTTCTCTCGTGGAAGCGAGGTGGGTGTCAATATAATACTACTTACAGTATTATTGTCACTTCAACCACAACCTCGCTTCCGAGGAAGAAATCATTCTGTTACAAGTTGTGTCATGGAAAATCTTTATGGTCATCAATCATATACATATTTTACTACAACTAGTAAGTTGTTTTGATTCTTTAACTTCCGTGAAGCGATCTGAACACAAGTAAGATATCGTTTCAGGCTTCCACAACGCTCGCTTCGCACTCACAAACATAACCCATTTAGCACGAACTGCGGGGTCCTGTGGAAATCTGTGCATGGCAACACCATCGCCCGACCCCTAGGAGCAATTGACGACAATGCAACGATTCAGCATGTCTTCGTTGATGTCGAGAAATCATCAAAATGACGAGCTTGCTACACACTTTCTATACAACTATCTGAAAATCCTTCCTCATATGACGTCACTGCTCTGGCGACAGAGTTACGTAACCTGTCTGTGGTTTCGTTGGCGTGCGAGAGTGAAGCATGCGACTTTTTTAATCGCTCGGTATTAATTAACCACAATTTTTTTAAGAATGAATTTGGTGTTCCGCATGACTAACCACAAATCTTTCATATGTAATAGTTAAAAAGTAAAAAAAAACAAAGTTTATTTGTTCTTTAATAATATCTATATATTTTTTATTAAATATGAAAAACTTTTGGAAAAGTTAATACTAATTTTGGCCCAAAAGTACTAATTTTTGCATCAGTTTCTGGCCAAAATACTAATTGGGCTAAATTAGTGTTGGCATCTCTACTTGGGCAAAACAAACAGGGTGGGTAGCCTGCAGTATTTGTCTGCATGGACACAACAGGGTGGGTAGCCTACAGTATTTGTCACAACATTGTGGGTAGCCTACAGTATTTGTCTGCATGGTCACAACATGGTGGGTAGCCTACAGTATTTGTCTGCATGCACACAACATGGTGAGTAGCCTACAGTATTTGTCTGTATGGACACAACAGGGTGGGTAGCCTACAGTATTTGTCTGCATGGTCAAAACATGGAGTGTAGCCTACATAATTTGTCTACATGGTCAATACATGATGTGTAGCCTACATAATTTGTCTGCATGGTCAAAACATGGTGTGTAGCCTACATAATTTGTCTGCATGCACACAACATGGTGGGTAGCCTACATTATTTGTCATAACATTGTGGGTAGCCTACAGTATTTGTCTGCATGGTCACAACATGGTGAGTAGCCTACAGTATTTGTCTGTATGGACACAACATGGTGTGTAGCCTACAGTATTTGTCTGCATGGACACAACATGGTGGGTAGCCTACAGTATTTGTCTGTATGGACACAACATGGTGTGTATCCTACAGTATTTGTCACAACAGGGTGGGTAGCCTACAGTATTTGTCTGTATGGACACAACAGGGTGGGTAGCCTACAGTATTTGTCCCAACAGGGTGTGTAGCCTACAGTATTTGTCTGCATGGACACAACAGGGTGGGTAGCCTACAGTATTTGTATGGACACAACAGGGTGGGTATCCTACAGTATTTGTCACAACAGGGTGGGTAGCCTACAGTATTTGTCTGTATTGACACAACAGGGTGGGTAACCTACAGTATTTGTCTGCATGCACACAACATTGTGAGTAGCCTACAGTATTTGTCTGTATGGACACAACAGAGTGGGTAGCCTACAGTATTTGTCACAACATTGTGGGTAGCCTACAGTATTTGTCTGTATGGACACAACAGGGTGGGTAGCCTACAGTATTTGTCACAACAGGGTGGGTAGCCTACAGTATTTGTCTGTATTGACACAACAGGGTGGGTAACCTACAGTATTTGTCTGCATGCACACAACATTGTGAGTAGCCTACAGTATTTGTCTGTATGGACACAACAGGGTGGGTAGCCTACAGTATTTGTCACAACAGGGTGGGTAGCCTACAGTATTTGTCTGTATGGACACAACATGGTGGGTAGCCTACAGTATTTGTCACAACAGGGTGGGTAGCCTACAGTATTTGTCTGTATGGACACAACATGGTGTGTAGCCTACAGTATTTGTCTGTATGGGCACAACATGGTGTGTAGCCTACAGTATTTGTCACAACAGGGTGGGTAGCCTACAGTATTTATCTGTATGGACACAAAATTGTGGGTAGCAACATGGTGTGTAGCCTACAGTATTTGTCACAACATGGTGGGTAGCCTACAGTATTTGTCTGTATGGACACAACATGGTGTGTAGCCTACAGTATTTGTCACAACAGGGTGGGTAGCCTACAGTATTTGTCTGTATGGACACAACATGGTGGGTAGCCTACAGTATTTGTCTGTATGGACACAACATGGTGTGTAGCCTACAGTATTTGTCTGTATGGACACAACATGGTGTGTAGCCTACAGTATTTGTCTGTATGGACACAACATGGTGGGTAGCCTACAACAACACTATTGTCCTAACAGGGTGTGTAGCCTACAGTATTTGTCTGTATGGACACAACATGGTGGGTAGCCTACAGTATTTGTCTGTATGGACACAACATGGTGGGTAGCCTACAGTATTTGTCTGTCACAACAGGGTGGGTAGCCTACAGTATTTGTCTGCATGGACACAACAGGGTGGGTAGCCTACAGTATTTGTCTCATGGACACAACAGGGTGGGTAGCCTACAGTATTTGTCACAACATGGTGGGTAGCCTACAGTATTTGTCTGCATGGACACAACAGGGTGGGTAGCCTACAGTATTTGTCTGTATGGACACAACAGGGTGGGTAGCCTACAGTATTTGTCTGTATGGACACAACATGGTGGGTAGCCTACAGTATTTGTCTGTATGGACACAACATGGTGGTTAGCCTACAGTATTTGTCTGCATGCACACAACAGGGTGGGTAGCCTACACTATTTGTCACAACAACGTGGGTAGCCTACAGTATTTGTCTGCATGGACACAACAGAGTGGGTAGCCTATAGTTCTTTGTCTGTATGGACACAATAGGGTGGGTAGCCTACAGTATTTGTCTGTATGTACACAACAGGGTGGGTAGCCTACAGTATTTATCACAATATGGTGGGTAGCCTACAGTATTTGTCTGTATGGACACAACATGGTGTGTAGCCTACAGTATTGTCTGTTGGACACAACATGGTGTAGCCTACAGTATTTGTCTGTATGGACACAACAGGGTGGGTAGCCTACAGTATTTGTCTGCATGGACACAACATGGTGGGTAGCATACACTATTTGTCACAACATTGTGGGTAGCCTACAGTATTTGTCTGCATGGACACAAAATTGTGGGTAGCCTATAGTATTTGTCTGTATGGACACAACAGGGTGGGTAGCCTACATTATTTGTCTGTATGGACACAACATGGTGAGTAGCCTACAGTATTTGTCTGCATACACACAACATGGTGTGTAGCCTACAGTATTTGTCACAACAGGGTGGGTAGCCTACAGTATTTTTCTGTATGGACACAACATGGTGTGTAGCCTACAGTATTTGTCTGCATGCACACAATATGGTGTGTAGCCTACAGTATTTGTCACAACAGGGTGTGTATCCTACAGTATTTGTCTGTATGGACACAACATTGTGGGTAGCCTACAGTATTTGTCTGCATGCACACAACATGGTGTGTAGCCTACAGTATTTGTCTGCATGCACACAACATGGTGTGTAGCCTACAGTATTTGTCACAACATTGTGAGTAGCCTACAGTATTTGTCTGTATGGACACAACATGGTGTGTAGCCTACAGTATTTGTCTGTATGGACACAACATGGTGTGTATCCTACAGTATTTGTCTGTATGGACACAACATGGTGTGTAGCCTACACTATTTGTCTGCATGGACAACAACAGGGTGGGTAGCCTACACTATTTGTCACAACATTGTGGGTAGCCTACAGTATTTGTCTGCATGGACATAACAGAGTGGGTAGCCTATAGTATTTATCTGTATGGACACAACAGGGTGGGTAGCCTACACTATTTGTCACAACATTGTGGGTAGCCTACACTATTTGTCACAACATTGTGGGTAGCCTACACTATTTGTCGGCATGGACACAACAGGGTGGGTAGCCTACACTATTTGTCACAACATTGTGGGTAGCCTACAGTATCTGTCTGTATGGACACAGCAAGGTGGGTAGCCTATAATAGTTGTCTCTATGGACACGACATTGTGGGTAGCCTACAGTATTTGTCACAACATTGTGGGTAGCCTACAGTATTTGTCTGCATGGACACAACAGAGTGGGTAGCCTATTGTATTTGTCTGTATGGACACAACAGGGTGGGTAGCCTATAGTATTTGTCTGCATTTGGGTCTGCATGGACACAACAGGTGTAGCCTACAGTAGGACCTGCAGTATTTATTTGGCATGGATACGACAGGGTGGGTACGAGGGTGGGTAGCCTATCATATGCCTGATTGTGTTGTGATACAACTGCTGTTTCTTGCAGAGTGCCTGTGACTGTATGGCCGGGTTTGAGAATTACGTCCCAGGGTATGGGTGTTCCCTGATTGACATCTGCTCATCTGTGAGCTGCCACAAGAATGCCACCTGTACCACAGTCAGCCCCAATGCTATTGAGTAAGTAGCAGCAGAGATGGAAATCAACAGATAGGAAGGGCATCGATTCTAAGAGATTTAGATAGCCATAATTTTCTTTTTAAAGGACAGGCTGGATATATTATGTCCATTAATAGTGGTGTTGGCAAATCCTTTTGCTACCCAGCGTTCACTGTGATATTACCATTCCCTTTTTCCTGTGCTCGATGTTGGTTTGGTCCGTACAATGTTTGTGAATAGGGGTATCTCGAACATCACAAGAATCATGGGAAGTGTAGGTGTACCAAAATGTGAGCCTGGAGATATAGTGGGGGATGGAACTGTTGAGGGAAGCAATTTACCATTAATAGCTAAACTACCTAGATACTTCCCTACAAGCCAATTTTGTATTTGAATAGCCAGTTCTGTTTCAAACTGCTTACAAGGTAGCAGAGAAATTAAATTACTTCAAGGTCTTCAGTCTGAGTCATTAAGGCTGAAGGGGTCGTTGTCGGCACAGGTAGTACAGATACGTACCCCAGGTACGTTTCTGTATACAGATATGTACCCTAAACAAAGTCAAAATACAGAAACGTACCCAGTACCCTAATAGGCAGATGAGTCCATATTCCGCAATCCAAAACCGAAACCGCATGTAGTTGTTCCCGTTCAACTGATTGCGAGTGGTATTCATATGCATCGCGAAATATCTGTTACTTTGTATTCTCATTACTTACATAACGCAATCAAATGTATCTAATACAACAGCATGACAGTTCCGATCAAGAATATGACACAATGGGAATGGAATCGCCCTAGGGTACGTTTCTGTATTCTCATTATGGCCAGGGTACATATTTGTATACAGAAACGTACCTGGGGTACATATCTGTAGTACCCGTGCCGACAACGACCCCTTCAGCGTCATTAAGAAACATGACTCTGTCACTTTCGCAAGAATCATAACAGAACTAGTGACTCAGGATCATAACAAGCCCAACAAAGTTTACATCCATCCCTGGACCCTGAAATATAGCTAGGGACCGTTTTAGCAGTAAATTGATTCTCTTTTCAACTTTCATGTATGTTGGCTGGTTGGTTTGTTGTTTAATGACGCACTCAGCAAAATTTCAGCTATATGACGGCAGTCTGTAAATAATCAAGTCTGGATGAGACAATCCAGTGATCAAAAGCATGAGCACCGATCTACGCAACTGAGATACGATGACATGTGTTAACCAAGTCAGAAATCCTGACCACCCGATCCTGATAGTTGCCTCTTACGACAAGCATGGGTTACTGAAGACCAGTTTTAACCCGGATCTTCACGTGCCTCATATATGACAGATGTGTACCAATATTCATGCTCACTTGTCAGAATCTTAAGGTAACCAGTTGGGCCGTCTTGAATTGAAAATAAAGAAGCTATGGACAGGTGCTTACTTCAACACTGCATGGAACCAATCTTGAACCTTTAACAGGTGATAACTGTTTGATCTGCTCCAGGTGTACCTGTCACGAGGGCTTTGTGGGAGATGGCCAGGAGTGTTATGGGAACATTATGCAGGTAATCCTAGTACAAACAAGATGAATTAAATGCTTTAAATGAAAACTAAAGGCGGTTGAGAATCATACTCACATCATTCTTTCTGACATGTACCGCCTCCGTGATGTAGTGGTTAGAGCGTCCGCCTGGAGAGTGGAAGGTCGCGGGTTCGATCCCCGACCGCGTCATACCAAAAAGACGTTAAAATATGATACTTGTTGGTCCCTGCCTGGCGCTCGGCATTAATGGGTACAACAAGGTCTGGTCAGCTCGGAGTCAGTATAATGTGTCTGAGTGGGGTATTCGTGCTTCACTGCGGCATGGTATCTCAGTGGGCTAGCACTATAAAACCAGCTTCAGTCTGGGCTAGTACAAGCAGCCGCACATACACACACATACACACGCATGCACATCGTCATATGAGCGAAATATTCTCAAGCACGACGTTAAACCCAATTTCACCTCACCTCACCTTTCTGACATGCACAGATAAGTATAAATCAAATAATAAATTGTTTTAAATATTTCTTGCAGCGTCTTGAGGATCTAAATGGGAATGACCCTGACTTGAAGAACCAGCTTACATTTGCAATGGAGATGTTGAACACTGGTTACAGGGATGCTCTCACCAATCAGGGCCCTTTCACCATCTTCGTCCCAGCGAGCCAGGGCTTCAAGAAAGTCTTCAAAACTTCGACTGTAAGTTTGCTTGTTTATACTGATGCCACACTTAGCAATATTCCAGTTGTAGAACAGCAACCTGTAATGAACTGAACCTGGTCCAGACAATCCAGTGATTGATGTTATGAGCAATGGTCCATGATGTCGAGGTTGGTCAGACGTAATGGAGTAGTTCATTTCTAAATTCATCTTGCACAGAATTCTGCTTGTGGGTGGATTTAGGGTAAGGATACAAGTCCCGAGCAGCATCTTATGAGTTGACCTAATGGACTGAGTATCCAGGCTTTTGGACTTGATTGATTCCTTATTTACAGACCATATCTTGTAGCACCAATATGGTTTAATGTGGCATTAAACGACTAAGAAAAAAAAAAAAAAAAAAAGGGTTTGGACAATTGCCAGCAATGCCATAAAATCAAAAGCTGTTTACATTCTGATAAGAGATTTGATTAGTGTTTCACTGTGTTTCAGTTTGAGTCCTTCCTGGCGAACAGAGACATGGTGCGACAGATAATCCGCCAGCACGTGATCGTAGGTCAGCTGTCCCTGAATGACCTGCAGAACCACACGAACTACTTCACCCTGCAGGGCGTCGCCCTGACACTCAGCCTCAGGGCGGTCAGTACCATCATTGTCTGCCCTTACATAAGCCTTCCATTAGAGGGCACCTGTAGGGATTCTGGGTTGGAATCATGTTCAGGAAGAACATGTCTTAGCACTAATTAATGTAAAGGTGTCTTAGTGCAAAAATTATCTTAATTATTTTTGCTTAATTAACTAAAACTTCAGATTTTCACCTGAAGTTCTCTTTGCTGTCAGTAATACATGTACAAGGTGGGAAGCATCACTTCTCTTTGGAGGAAGCATGAAGTGACTTACGAGGTGACTCAATGGATGGATCGGGACTTGGTTGATGGTATATCTGGGCACCCGCATGTCACATATATGTGTTCATTATATCTAGCACTTGGTTCTCTGTTACAGACTTGAGGAGGTAGGGTAGCCTAGTGGTTAGAGCGTTTTTACATCACGCTGAAGACTCGGGTTCGATTCCCCACATGGGTACAATGTGTGAAGCCCATTTCTGGTGTCCCCCGCTGTGATAGTGCAGGAATATTGCTAAAACTAAAAGTGGTGTAAAACCAAACTCACTCACTCACTCACTGTTACAGACTTGATTATCTTGTGGCTGATGTCATGTGGCTGGAATATTGCTGAATGCTCAGTTACATGTTTTGTAGAGATTATGTTAGGTTTTTTTAATCCTACCCCTACCCACTGTCAAACTGTTGGCTCTTGAATATATCAGTTGATAGCCTTATATACAAGGTGTATAGTTCTCCAGTAATATGTTTGTCCTGAAATCCTCACGTTCCTCTGATTGCAGAGAAGCGAGGTGTTCAAGTACCGACTCCGAGGCCAGTCGGACAAGTCAAAGATCCTGAAGGGGGATCTGGTTTGTGCTAATGGGATGATCCATGTGACCAACTCTCTCATCACCATGGAGCCAGAGATAGTGTCCGACCCCGAGGTACCAGTAGAGCACCTGCATGGAACCACAAACATAACTGTAGTTTAGTAATGTAACATGACAGCAATCTGCAGTCAGGTTAAAACCATCAAATTGGTGACAAAAATGATGTCTGATGCAATTCTTTATTTTGACTTATACCATATGTTCCCGAATTATCTCAGGTGAACAATTGACTCGCGAAGACCTGGTGTCATCACCATTTCATATTGATTCATAAACACATGCTCTGTCAATGTATAACATGATGACAATCACTGGATTAAGAATGAGGACAATTTTATGGATATACAACTTCTTTATTCTGTATAGGTGACGTTTCTACATAGATTCTACATTAGACATTAGACTCTATGTCGAAATATTGCCTATACAGAATAAAGAGTTGTATATCCATAAAATTTGTCTTCATTCTTCACCTCCTCAACTTCCAGAATGCCAATCAAAGAAATCACTGGATTGTCTGGTCAAGACCCGGTTTCTGTAATACTGTAATACTGCTGAAACAAATATACACTCATGATATGGTCACTATTGTACAATCAACTCTGCTTTTAGCAGAGATTTCTTATTGATGTGGAAAATTATAGTTGTTATTTGTTGTTTGCACAGAATTGTATTTCAAATAGTGAGTGAATTAAAATTTAGCCAGCAATCTTTTAGCCAGATCATGATGTATGTCAACTAAAATAAGTAGTTGGGAAAAATGGCATAATGCATTTGATATGCAGTTACATAGATAATTGATGCATATCTTCAGAGTTATTTTCTGATGGAAGTCATGGTTGGTCCCAGCTGGGTAGTGTTGGTCCCCAGTATCTTGTGCCTGAGGGGTGGTTGGGTAGCCTAGTGGTTAGAGACCTGAGGTCAATTCCCTACATGGGTACCGGTACATTGTGTGAAGCCCATTTCAGGTGTCTCTCGCCATGATACTGCTGGAATATTGCTAAAAAGTGGCGTAAAACCCAACTCACTCACTTTTGTGGCTGAGAGTGAGTGAGTTAAGTTTTACGCCGCACTCAGCAACATTCCAGCTATATTCCAGGTCTGTAAATAATCAAGTTTGGACCATACAGTCCAGTGATAAACATCATAAACATCAATTTACGCAATCAGGAGACGATGACAAGTGTCAACCGAGTCAGAGAGCCTGACCACCTAACCCATTAGTCGGCTTTTGTGGCTGAGAGATGTCTGAAGGGATGACTGAAGATTTGAGGTTGATTGCGTATCATAGAACCCCTCTTACTTTAGACGCTGCTTATGACATCACTGAGTGTGTTTTCTCGAATGTCGAGGCTGACGGGAAGTAACTATAATATAACCCTTTTCAGCAAAAAAATGACAACAAAGAAATAGCACTTGAAGAACTTGTTTGTTTATAAGCCTTGAATGAGTTGACTCCATAGCCTCTTCTGTTGTCAGAAAAGTGTGCTGGATATGATAAACCAGGAGGGGCGGTACCGCCGATTCCAGTCTCATGTTCAGGTTAGTCTTTATGTGGTGTGATATGTTTTACAATGTAGAAGCTCATGTTCATTTCAGTATGTGCATGCTGTAATCCATTATAGTAATTTTAAACACGTGGTACAATGTACAACTTCACATTCAAGTTGGTATACATATGTAATACAATGCACAACTTCACATTCAAGTTGGTATACATATGTAATACAATGCACAACTTCACATTCAAGTTGGTATACATATGTAATACAATGCACAACTTCACATTCAAGTTGGTATACATATGTATACAATGTAATACAATGCACAACTCACATTCAAGTTCGTATTCACATTCAAGTTGGTATACATATGTAATACAATGCACAACTTCACATTCAAGTTGGTATACATATGTAATACAATGCACAACTTCACATTCAAGTTGGTATACATATGTAATACAATGCACAACTTCACATTCAAGTTGGTATACATATGTAATACAATGCACAACTTCACATTCAAGTTGGTATACATATGTAATAGAATGCACAACTTCACATTCACATTCAACACATTCAAGTTGGTATACATATGTAATACAATGCACAACTTCACATTCAAGTTGGTATACAGTTGGTATACAAGTGTATACATATGTAATACAATGCACAACTTCACATTCAAGTTGGTATACATATGTAATACAATGTACAACTTCACATTCAAGTTGGTATACATATGTAATACAATGCACAACTTCACATTCAAGTTGGTATATATTGATTAAGATACAGCCTCATATTCAAGTGAGCATTCATATTCCATACAGTCTATGTTTTACAATATACCCCATCACATTCAAGTCAGATACAATGTTTTACAATATACACCATCACATACAAGTCAGTATGTACCCCTGTTCTGTTTACAGAGGCTGGGATTAGAGAGTCAGTTTGAGGCCGACAATGTCACAGTGTTTCTCCCCAACAACCGGGTGTGGGACGATCTGGAGGATGGCACTGTGGAGTACCTCATGTCTTATGATGGATATCCTGTACTGAAGAAAATCATTGAAAATCATGTCTTCCCAGGAACGGTAAAGCAAAACATGTCCTACTTTATGTTAACCCTGAGATGTGAAAAGATAGAGAATGAAGTGTCCATAAAATCTCTTTCTTTTCTTGGTTATGAGTTATTTTCACAGAATGAGACCACTGATTTGTCTTTCTGCAGCAAAATGAGTGAATGAGTGAGTGATGTTTTACGCTGCACTATTCCATCAATATCTTGTCTGAGACCACAACCAAATGAATGTACTATCATTACATTGAGCCCTGTTGCCATGGTGGTTCAGTGGTTGTGTTGATCAAAAGAGGTGAACAATTGATGGTGTACCTGGTCCCACTGCTCATATCAGGTGAACAGTTTGGAATAAATATACTCTTTAAATAATTATGGAACACTTGAAAATAGCTTAAAATTTCCCAGATTGTAAGAGATATCACATTCTAGTTATAGTTCTGTGATAGTATTGAATGAATTGGGAACACATTACAGCCAGTTTTAGTAGTGGTAGTGGGAGTAGTAGTAAGTAATTGTAGTGGGAGTTGTAGTAGTGGTGGTGGTGGTAGTGTGGTGGTGGTGGTAGTAGTAGTGGTGAGTAAGTGAGTCATGTAGGTCAAGGGGTAGTAGTAGTGGGGTAGTAGTAGTAGTTGTTGTTGTGGTGGTGGTAGTAGTAGTAGTAGTGGGAGTAGTAGCAGTGGGAGTGTAGTAGTGGTGAGTAGTAGTAGTGGTGGTCAGTGGTAGTAGTAGTACAGTGGTGGTAGTAAATAGTACTCTTGTAGTAAGTAATTATGGTATCACTTGAGTAGTAGCTTAGTTTCCCAGTAGTGGTAATTAGTAGCAGTGAGTTATAGTCTGAGTAGTGGTGAGAAGTAGTGGGAGTGGTGGTAGGG